TAAACCTTGCTGGATTGATTCTGCATGGTCTCCTGGAGTTCCTTGGGCTAGGCCCGACAGTGATGCTGAGAAATAGAAGATTATTGGAGCTAGAAGAACACAATTTGAGGTTTGGGTGGCATGGTTATTTATGGTATGATAAAGCTAAAGTTAATGTTAACTGTAAAAATCATTTTGTTAGACGGGCCATATTGAGAATATGGAATAGATATAAATCTAGATTGTGTCCGAAAATACCTTTTTGGCTCTCACCACAAGAAGCATATTATAGAAAAGAAATGATAACTTAAATAGTTAACTTATGGTGATATATAAGAATTTTCCCAGGGAAAATTCAAAATGAAAGCAAGAGATGACTTGATATTAGAAGGATATACATGTCAATGGTTTTCCTATGTACAATTATTAGAAAGATTTAAAGTAGATAAAAGGACCTTTGATTTTGAATATTCTAGACTGAATTTGAAACAGAATTATATACAAATGATGAACATGTTATTGCTAAAATGTACAGTATAAACTTTTATTGAGATTTGAAACAGAGGAAGAACAATTGAAAGAATGTATGATAAAATGGGCCAAGCTTTTTGGTTATGACATACAAATGGGACAGTGGGAGAATATGTGGATGAAAGGACTAACATTTACATTATGTTATAATCTTAAGGAGAATTTTTATAAGATGATATATTATTGGTATTTGTCACTGTAAAAAGTGTCAAAATGTACAAAGGTACTTCAGATATATGTTGGAAATGTGAACAACAAAAGGGGATTTTTTATTATGCTTGGTAGACACTAAAAAAGCTAAAAAAAATTGGATCCTTAATTCAGAAGATTTTAAAGATTAATATACAATTGAAGCCAGAGATGTTTCTTTTGGGACTGACTGACAAAAAGTTGGAAAAAACTCACAGAACTTTGTTTTTATACATAACAGCAGTGAGACTTCTATATGCACAATGGTGGAAGGATTTGACATTACCCACAAGGGAAGAATAGATTATGAAGATGATGGAGCTTGCTGAGATGGCTAAATTGACAGTTTTGATCAGAGAGAAGACACTGTCCAAAAGGGGTTTCCAATGCTGATTGAAAACCCTTTTTGGACTTTTTGCACGAAACAGAAAAAATGAAATTATGATATATGGGTTTGATGATTAGAAAAAATATTAGTTGATAGAAAAAAATGAAAGTTATGTTGTAATCCTAGAGTAAGAGTTCAATTTAAATCTATATCTATAGCTGTCATAAAGGAAAACTGGAAGTCATTTCCTTATAAATTATATTTTGGACACATTATGTGAAGGCCAGCTCCCTTGAGAAGTCCATAATGTTGGGAGAGGTAGAAGGAAAGAGAAGAAGAGCGAGATGGATATTACAAAATTACAAAAGCAGTGGTGCATTGTTGAAAGACTTGAAGGGCCAGGTTTTCCAGGATCAGCCTGGAAAAGATATGGCTGTGTGGATTACTAACAGTTGACACTGATTTGATAGCATATAATCAATTGATCAATAGAATTGGACATATTTCAAAAGCCTCCATATTCCTAAGTCAACTTGATCTAATTGAAAGGATTATTATTTGAATTGGCTTCAAGTTTATAGTGTTTTTGAATTGTTCCAGCTGTTTCTTATACTTTCCATTTTGGAATTAATTTAATAATGAAAACCTAAGATATACAGTACATTCTATAAAGAAACTCAGCAGTGTTGCTAGACAAAAGACTATTATTCAGCTAATATGGGGCTTCCAAGGTTTGTAGTTCAGCACAATCTGGAAGGCCACATACTGTATATACAGGCAATAATTTTTAAGAATGTAGAAGGTCATATGTTAAATATGTCATCACGGGCAGTGGTAACTCTTGAGTGACATGCATAAAAAGTGCTCAAAAACAGGCAAGTCAAAGTCATTTTCCCAAATACAATGACTAAGAAAGGGAGGGGACAACTCATTCTCTTCAGTCACTGAAGATTTGTTACCTTTGCTCCACAGTCTGCTCCTTTCTGTATGCAAAAACCAATGAACCGAGGGTCAGCCACTTTTACCAAAATGTTGTCAACACAGTAAACATGTATGCTGCCAATTCCTCTTTGTTCCATGTCCTCTATAATACGATGAGCTCCCAAAGCTCGGTACAGACCCCCATTGCCATCTTTAGAAAGAAGAGAAAAGAGCGTGTCAGGTATTTTTTATTTACTTTTAAGTTTCTTTTTTTCTAGCTTCATTTGATATACAGACATGAAGGATTATGGTTTGCAATATAGAACAGGGAACATTTTGTTTCAGGTTTTACAGGTAGTCCTCATTTAGCAACTGCCTCGGATAGCAACTGTTCACAAATGTATGACAGTAATAAACATAGTAAACAAGTAAAAAAAATTTTTCTGACCAATGCACACACTAATGCCCAAATTTCCCGTGCTTGACAGTACACACTGGAGTGAGAGTAACTCTGGCGTTGCTTCATGAGAGAACTTATCTGAATGAGATGACAGCGATCAGCAATCTTCATGGCATCTCTCTCTCTTTCTGTCATGTGGTTTGCTTAGCGACCATTTCTCTGGAATGAATTGCAGTCGCTAAATGAGGGCTACCCATACTTGTTTACTGTTATATAAAGTTTTCAAATCTATATTATTTCCTATTTGTTTTTATACAATAATTTTAATACTGTTTTGTAAAGCTTATGGTTTTTTTAAATATAAAAGTTGGCTGTACTGCCTGTGCTGTGGAAATGGTATTTTTTATTATTTTCTGAAATACTTTGTATGCTGCTGAGTTTATTGTAGAGATCCCTACTAACTCCAATAAGCAAAGATAATCAACCTTTTCAGAGTGATTTGATTAGCTGCCTATATCTCCACACCTTTAGAATTTGGATAATTAACTCAAACAAGATTTTAAAGTCTGCTTCAACCCTGAGTTATTGATTCATTCCTACAAACCAAAGAGATCTACATCATACCTGGAGCCATAGAAACTTTGCCCTTTTCTTCCAGGAGAATTTTCCCACTGAAGTCCATTGCAGGGAGCATCCCTTGTTTGAAGAAGATCACATTCTCCTTCTTCAAACCAAAATATTTGTGTTTTAGAAAAAATTCTTTAGTCAATTCTGTTGTCCTGCCACTGGTCATTATATACCTGCCCAGAACAACAGGAGAGCCATAATTCATTAAAGCCAGACAGAAGCACGTTATAGGACACCCAACACATGACATTCCATTATGAAACGACAGAGATCCTTACCATGGAATAACACATTTGAGACCATGTTGCTTTTCAGCTAGCTGCTGCAGTTTTAAAATACGCTCTGCTTGGATCTGGAACAGAGTTTTATGGGACAGTAACCCTACATCATACATTCCTTTGGGATACGAGACACCAAGCCTTGTCCCTTGTCCACCAGCTAAGAGAAGAACAGCAACTTTGCTCTGAGAAATCTGTCGAAGACCTAAACCAAATAGGAAAAATGAAAAGGAATAATCTGTTCCCCTCAAGTGCCATTTCATGGTAATAGACATTTATTCCACTGGTAAAGTGGCAAACTTTTGAATAGCATAGTGATAAGAAACTGTACAGTAAGCAAAGGAGAGGGAAAATCTCTGCACCTCTAGAGAGTACTGCCTTCATTGTTTCTAGAGATATCTGATGCTCTATATTAAACTAAGAATAGTAAAAATAAAATCACTACATCCTCTTACACAAACACAATTTAATTCTTAAACCCAATTTGGATTAATGAAAATCAATCCTTCATTAAAGATATGGGGACTTTTAACAGTCGTGGACCTGTGTATGCATTGTTAAATAGTTATTTTTTTTCCTTTTATCTCCTATATATACCTTTAAATTTTACATAATGAGCAGCCAATTTGGAAATATATGCATTTTTCTATTTTGCATGCAAGAAAAAATTAACAGAGTAAATTCAGTGAAATCTATACATTTCCTAGAAAACTGTACTGTATTACCATTCTTGCCACAAGCGTCTCTTTCTTAACCTTGGCAATTCTAAGATGTGTGGACTTCAACTCCCAGAATTCCCCAGCCAGCATGCTGGAAGTTGAAGTCCATACATCTTAAGAGTTCCAAGGCTGAGTTGCACTGCTTTAGACAAAGCGTCCTCAGCTATTAAACAGCCAGTTCAGAAAATAAGGGCTTTGTAAAATTATGGTACTTATTAAATGGAGAATAACCTTGAATCGTTATCAAATCAAATCAAATCTTTATTACTGTCATAATATTACAAATTATTATCAAATAATAAAATAAGATATATTATCAAATAGCATAAGAATTGTTATCAAAGTTGTACATTTTGAGATTCATTTCTTTAAGAATATACTATTAAAAAGTTTTATTGATTAAACATTGCAAGTTTTGTGATGCCCAAAACCTCCACTAATATCATGTCAACTAATCTTTCAGAAGCAGAACTGGGGGCTGTCAATGCTTCACCTGCATCAGAATTTGTATGCAATACACAATAAAAAAAACCTCACTACAAGATCATTTTTTATGCAGAAGCCTAAGTCAACATAGGATGGAAAACAGCTATTCTAAAGCCCAAACCTTATCCTTTCTAATCACAGAATGCGAAAATATCTGCCCAAGTAATACGTATGTAAACATAAGACAATCTGTAACCTCTCTAGGGTAAAGGCTTCCTAGATAACTTCCTGCTTGTACCTACGCCTGACACTATGTAAGCATTTCAGTACAATGATTCTATAGATAGATGTAAACAGATTAGCAACCGGTACAATGAGATAGCACAAAGTTAACTTTTAAGCTTAATTTCTGCAGTAGTGCCTACCTATACTGCAAGCATTCATTGGCCTGAATGCTGTATTACCAAAAACTCACTTTCTGGCTTTTAAATATTTCTTAATTCAAACAATCACCTTGTTTGATTTGTTCTTATCCTGCAAGCAATGCAGGACTCTGATGGCTGGGGGCAGTGGGGGGGTAGGTGGGAATAAATTTAACGATTTGTTAACCAAGTTCAACTGATTCAAGCTGCAGTACTTGTTTTTCTTCAGATCTTATCTTTCTTCAGTGTTATTGCTGATCTCCCCTTGAAACTCACTGAATTCACTAGATAATTACCATAAATCATAGAATATAAAACTGGAAGGGATCTTAGAGATCATCTAGTCCAATGCCCTGACCAGTGCAGGAATCCACAACCACAACATCCTCAGCAGATGGCCATCCAGCCTCCATTTACATCTCCAGCCAAAGGCAGCCCACCATTTCCCACGGCGATCTGTTCCACTGTTGAGCAGCTTTTGTTATTAGGCTGTTCAACTAAAATCTGCTTCCTGGTAATTTAAACATATTGTTTCTTGTCTCATCTTCTGGAAGAACTCTGAACAATTCTGTCCCACCTTCTATGTAATAGGCTCTCAAATACTTGAAGACAGCTGTCATGTCACTGCCCAATATTCTCCTCTCCAGACTAAAGATAGCCAGTGCCTCCCCCTATTCCTCATAAGGCTTTTCTTCATGGTCTCTTATCATCTTGTTGGACATGCTCTAGTTTGTCTATGTCCTTCCTAAAATGTGATGTCCAGAAAAAGATATACTATTTTGGTATAGCTTAACCCATCAGAATAGAGATGAAAAATTACTTCTTTTGATCTTGACTCTGTACTTCTGTTGATATAGTCTAGATTGCATTTGCTTGTTTTTCAGCTGCAGCACATCACTGGCTCATGTTCAACTTGTGATCTATCAAGACATCCATATCATTTCTGTATATACTGGTGCCCATTATGATTCCCCCCACTATCTTATATTCACGCCTTTGATTTTTCCTATCCAAATGCAGGGCTTTGCAGTGGCTCTGCTGCAATTCATCTTGCTGGGTTCTGCCCGCTTGTTCCAGCTTCTCAATCCCCAGCTTCCCTATAGAACCTAATTTCAAAAACAGCATAGAAGCAATCCTCTGATAATGAAATGAAATTCATATCTAGAAGGTTGAAAGTACAGGTTTATTACAAAGCTGACACAACCAACAACATTATAATGCAGCTTAGTTTTGATGCAGCATAGTATATAATTCAGCCAACTTCAGCTTGTTCAAAAAGCTGTGATTTAGGATGAAGGGGTGATATTTAACAGACAGATTTCATAATACCATGTTACACACCTCTCTTTTTTTTTTTAACAAAAATCTTAAGCACGTGGATTTGTGTACCATTGAGACGATACTTTTTCACATTAATAAAATATTTTATATTCTTGTGTTTATAAATACTAACACTGCTGACAAGGGCTCCATTTGCACTAATTGGTGAAACTACTTTATTTTATGAACATTTACCAGCTTACATGCAAAAGCTAGGCTTGAAGGGGTCCTAGCTTAGCTTTTGTGTAGGGAGCTCTATGCTTCAGAAAGCTATAATAGGAGCCAATTTGTCAGTTTATTTAGGTCAGCCTTCTGCAAACTGGTGCTCTCCCTATGTGACAGACTAAAACATTTGCAGAGCAGCTGATTAGGGAAGTCTGCTCTAGACAATGTCATGTCACACAGCAGGTACACTTCCTTACAATTATCCTAAACTTCCAGTTGGGTCCTTATACCTACCTTCTTCCTCCCAGTCTGGCAACTGAGCTTGGTCCCGTGTTGCACTCCCGAGGACCTCACGTGGCACAGGTTCCATCTTTGCATCCATGCTCTCTTGCCCTGGTAAATGGCCACTATCTAACATGGCTTTCTTGAAAGCCTGGTCCAGCTCCTTGAGATCCATGGCCTTCAATTCTTTATACAGCTCTTGTTGTTCTAGTTCATTTAGTTCCTCCCAGAATTGAAGAAGGTGGCTTTGTCTTGCTTCAGCCAAGCAGTGCCGGAGCACATGGATATTGATGTCACTGTCCATGACCCTGCATAAGGCAGAAAAAAGCTATTTATGAAGCTCACTCTGTCTGACAATTCTCTGCTTTTTATCCAGCATTTATTTCTGGAGTTAACTGTAACATATCTTCATGGAGCTTTTGAGAAAAAATTAGGTATGCTGGATGGTAGCATGAACTCTGCAATACACATCCAGGTCTCCTCCACTCCGATTAAGTCACAACAAGAGTATTAATTTCTGTACAATCCAAGCAGATCAGTCTAAAGGGGAAAAAAGTCCTCATGGAGTATTTGTTCTTCCAATGTGGTTCCTACATTTCTGTGAATATTTTCTTCCTAGAACTCCCTATTCACTTTTTGTGCCTCTGATTTAAAATGAAATATGGTTCTGATGTAGAACTACAACACAAGCACAAGCTGAGGTCTTCTGTAAGCACACAGTACATATTTTCTTGATCTCAGCCAGTACTTAAAATGAGATGCACTAAAATGGTAAGATATGGTCTTCTGGAGAGGTAACTGCAACAGTTATCTGAGTCCAAAGATGATCAAACAAGAACAAAAGTTATGAACTTATATATTTTCATTGAGTTGTACAAGATAAAGACAGAATATAAACCTAATGAATGAATAAATATTATGAATGTATGAACTTAACTTACGAATTCCACTCTTATTTGCTTGCTTTAGTTCTGTCAGTGCCAGGCATCTACTGGAGAAACGATCCCTTTTCCTCCAAGAGATGGTAAGCACTGTCCAATGGGGCATATAGGATTCTATAGAATTTCTCATATCTCAGCCAGAGCAATAATGGGTTTTTCAAAGGCTTAGATTTGTATGCAGAATTTTGTTTTATCCCAATTCAGTACAAAAATGAAAACAAAACCCATAAGCAAAAGACATGAAGAAGATATAGCCATCCAGAGCATCCATGAGTCCAAGATACAAGCACTGACAACTTAGTGCTTTCCCTTTGTCACTAGCATGAATATGTATATTCTTTTTTCAAACAAAGCAAACTGAAGACAATTTTACATATATATGTCAGGATTCTCTGACACCCCAACATTTAATCCTCCCTCTCCCCTTATGCCCCCCAGTATCTCTGCACTGGTTATGGTAGTACTTTAAGGCAAAGCATACCATTCGTTCAGATTTTCACACATCTAAAAGTAGCAGAGATTCTACTGCACATTTTTGACAAGTAATATAAAGGATTATTCTGGACATTCTACTGTAATTCACAGAGCCAATGAAATTATTGCCTGTGCATTTACCCTTGGCAACCATCCCAGAAGTATTCAAATGATCTTTGCAACATATGTGCATACAGATTTTAACAAGGTAGAGCACCTCAGGCGTGCTGCACAGACACATCAGCCTGATCCCAGGTATACTTAGGTCTACTCTGCTATCCTAGTCGTACTGTATTCAGTGAACCTTACCCTCAGGTAGAAATGCATTCGACTTATCTGCCGAATACAATATACCGTATTTATAAAGATGACATCTATAGCAATGTTTGAGAAATATACATTCCTCAGGACAGCTCATCTTTTGCTTAGGTTACACCACAAGATACCATGCAATAACTTAAGTAAAATTAACCACCATAACCACAGAAGCTTGTTGTTTTAAACAGGAACTTTTAAATAGCATACACAGAATTAGAAACGTAGCACAATTATAATTTACCAGGCTCAACCCAAATGAACAATAATGCCAGGCAATTTGACTCTCTTTCCTCCACAATGTAGACGCTTCAATAAAAAAAAATGCAAGCCCCCCTCCCTTTTTCATAGCTCGCCCCCACGCTGGCTACAGGAAAATAGCAAACCTCGTCCGCTTCGCCGGCCACTCACTTGCGTCAGGCACCCCTTTTACAAGCCCACTAAATCAGCTCCGCTCGTCTTTTTCCTTCTTCTCACACCAACCCATCAAGAGCTCCTTCAGAACCCCGCCCCCCTCAGCTCAGGTTAACCAATAACCAGGCAGGAGGCGGAACCCAGAGCTCCAGCACCATTCTCTCCCATTACTGGGTGGGGTGACGACTCTGGAATGCCGCCACGTCATGCTTGAGCGGAACGGACGCGGAACGCTATTGGCTCGAAGCCAGGAGGTGGGGGTGGAGGGGAAAAGTCACCACCTTAGAAAGGCAGGGCGGGGCGGGGCGAGGTGGACTTGAAGTTGGAGATGAGCGGTATTGTAGTGGCAGAAAATTTCCCGGGCGTCGTTGTCACCGGGGGTGGGGCAAGACTCACGCCTCCGCTTTCGTCATATGATTGACAGTGGCCCCGGCAATCTTCCTCACTGCGTTCCGCTTCCTTAGGCGTGAGCGATGTGGCAGTCGACGCCGCTCTTTGGTTCTTTCTCTGTCTCTTATTCCGTCTCCTTTTTATCCGCTGGCTGTGTTCGCGTAATGCTCTTGCCCATGGTTAGCTGAGCCAAGGTTTACTTAACCCGGTTTCCGAGTTCACACGACACATTGTAACATAAGCGAGCCCACGGGCGAAACTAAACCAGGGCTATATGGTTCGCAGTAATTCTGTGCTAGCCTCTCTTTGGAGAACTGCATAACCGAAATCCAAATTCTATACAGTACGTGTAGAAATAATGTATTGGTTTGGTGCAATAAACTCTCGCAAAACAGCTTTCTAGTTTATTTTTCATCAGAAGTGGGGAGGGGGGGGTACTAAACTCCAGCCAGTATTTTCTCGTTTACAATTTTAACTTCACAGAAGCCTAGAGAATTTGACGACGTACATACTGTTTTCCGCCCTGTTGTTTATTCTAATGAAGGTATTGCCTATGCACATTTGGGGATTTTTCTTATGTCAGATACGGCTCTTTGCTTTTCACATATAAATGTCTTGAATATGGACAAAAAATGCCTGCATAGAGAAACCGGTATGTTAGTTTTGGAGAGCTGTTCTCTCGAACACATTAACTGGAAAAGAATATATTCTGTATAAAGTAACATTCAGTCATGACCACATGAGCTATTCTTCCCCCTCTGAAATTTGTCCAGGGACATTATGCCACCTCTAAAAAATTTGTTATGCTTTGATTGACACAGCAAGCTAAACATGTCACCCAAACTTGGCAGCAAGTCTGGCCAGCACACTTCTAGATCCAAGTTAAAAAGCCTCAGGTATTATTTTTGTTCAAAATGTAGGAACAGATTCTGTGAGGTTCTAAGCTATGGTGCACTTCAGGGATCTATAGAAAGCACACACAAAAACTCAATAATATGTGTGCCACATTAAAGAATAGGTAGTCCTTGACTTACGACCACAATTGGGACCGGAACTTCCATTGCTAAGCAATGTGGTTAAGTGAGTTGCACCCGATTTTATGACCTTTTTGCCGCCGTTAAGTGAATCACGTGGTTGTTAAGCAAATCTGGCTTCCCCCATTGACTATCTTTGTTGGAAGCCCCCTGGGAAGGTCGCAAATGGCAATCATGTGACCCCAGGATGTTGCAACTGCCGTAAATACATGCCAGTTGCCAGGCACCCGAATTTTGATCATGTGACCTTAGGGACGCTGCAACGGTTGTAAGTGTGAAGGCAAATGGTAAATCACTTCTTCAGTGCTGCTGTAACTTTGAATGGTCATTAAATGAATGGTTGTAAATCGAGGACTACCTGTAATCACTTTATTCTGAAATAAATCCAATTTAGAGACTACTTTATCAAACACACGATAGTCTGTAGTCTACAAAACATTGGCTTTAAGTACAACAAGATTCTTTACTACATTTGCTATAACACTTCTGGAACATAAAAGATGTAAACAGTGTGCTTAATTTCACTGATCAGGAAACAAGAATCGTGTTCATTAAAATGATAGATTATCTGGCATGGCTGATGGGATTAGATCTCCTCTCTGAGGACCAGTGTTGGCTCAGCAGTAAATTTCAGTGAGCATTTTTTTTTAAAGTTGGTGGAGGAGCAATTTTTATTTTCAGCATGATACAGACGCTCTTAGGGCTGCAGTTAAGGGACAGAAACATTCAATAGCTGCATCCCCTTAAAGTTCTGACTCCAAAATATGTGCTATTGGGCTTTGAAATTCCTTGGCTGAAATTATATTTTGTGGAGTTTGATTCTTCTGAGACATGATTCTTTAGGGATGAAAAAGTGGGAGGGAGAATGTATAAGATTAGAATATAGAAGAATAGAATAGGGCTTGTATTTTTCCACTGGTAATTCATTGCTAACTCAGTAACTGGATTCTCACAACATAGTGAGTCATTATGTGATTAATTTGTTTTTAGGTTAGCATCTGTATTAAGCCAATTATTTTTGGGTAATAGCTTAGAGTTTGATGTTAACCCTAGCAAATACAATAAACTTAGTGTAAGGGATAAATCCAGACGTTGCAGCAGTGGTGTTTCTTTTTTGCTTAAGCAATTTGAATGTCAAGCATATTATTTAGTGACAGAGATGCATAGAGACTGTATTATTTGTATATGTGTATTATCTACATTTGCATGAAAATGTACACACATTATCTTAGAAAAAAGAAATATTGGCAATTCCTCCTTACCTTCAAGCATGTTGAGAGCTTCTGATTTGTAAGTTTCTTAACAAGGATCTGGAACATAAATTGGTGGTTAGTGAGTCAGTTCGGAGGGAGTGAAATCTGAATTTCACAAATTTCACTGGGATCTCTCTTTTTTGTTATGGATACCACAAAACAGTCTTTGAGCTGGCTGCTAAACTAAAATATTCATTTCCTTTACTTGGATTGAGGTTCTTTCCATTTACATAATTAAAGAATTGTGCAATCAGATGTTGTAGCCTTCCTGACGGAAAGTATTTGAATGCAGATGCTTGAGACTTTCCACGGTGGCGTGAATGACTGGGTTCAGCTCTGAAATAAGTGAAATGCTATTGATGCTTACTCGTGATATGTGGTACTTTTTTATCTCCTTGGTAACTACTATAAAACATCAGAGGAAGTAATATTAAGCAGAGTTTGGGGGCTGGCTTAAGCCCAGAATACTCTTCTTACTTTCCCAACAAGCTTGCTGCTTTTCTGAGTTGTCAACAAATATTTTAAGACTATTTAAAGAAAGCACATTTCTGGTCTGCAGCCACCTCTTTTCAGTTTTCCTGTGGGCTTTATGTGAGGCCCCGAGAATTCTTCTTGGTCCTAAGAGAAAAGGAACTAGGTGAGTAGCTAGAGACTGCTAATTTCCTTGGCAGCATCTTTACCTGAAAGATACTTAACAAATAGACAGAAAGAAGATCCTACCAATTCCTGGAAACCTTGGAGAACATGAAGAAAAATGACATTTTTTTTCTGCTGTTGCAATTGTGATTTCCCATCAGGTTTTTACATCACATTTTCCACAAACAGATTACAGTATGCTCACAGCAGTTTATACAATAGGTAGTTTAAATGTATAAATCAAGTAACATTTGCAGTCCATTCAAAATAAATCAACATTCGGAGCATAATTTCTTATATGCCATAAGCATGCAGAGCAGAAGGAAAGCTTGGTTAATAATATCATTTTCATTCAACATGTTAATAAACTCAATATTCCTTGTCTGCTCAAACAGCAAATGACTAAAAGATGCAGTAGAACAACCACAAAGCATAGCCCCACCCTCTTTTTTGATAGATGTGTGTGTGTGTGGTTGTACTGGGTGTTCAGAGAACTGTTTTTTATCTGCACATTTGTGAAAAGGAGGCTTTTCTGCTGTCATCATGGCCTCTCTGCTGTCTCTTTGTTTTGGAAAGTAATTTTTTCTTGTGTTGGAGTAATTTTGCTTGCATGTGTATTCAGTTAGCTTTCATTATCTTTTTTTTAGATAAAGTAGATATCTTATTCATCTTCCATGAAGCTGATATTTTGTTGCTCTTTGTGGCTTAGCCAACAGAGTCTTTCTAGGAGCTGTTATTTATCCTTTATGACTAGACATGTTCTCATGGCCACTATTTTGTGATGCTCATGTGAATTTGTCAGAATTCTAGTTGTTAGACTATTTTTTCTAACAAAAATCCCCAGAACTACACATTTTCCAGCTATTCATATCAATCCTCCAGCATTATCCATTTTAAACCCAAACCTCTGAACGGCAATGTTTCTGAAGTGTTATCTTCACCCTTCCTTTTTAACCCATCCATAGTTAGCCCTGTTATTGATTTAATAACCACAATCTCTTTCTTTCCCATTGTTCTTGAATCTTGTCTGGTGTTCTGTGACCTGGATGGTGTTTTCAATATTACACATATCAGAAGGACTTCCAAAACTTAAATTTTTAACATATGACAGTGCAGTTGGCAAGTAATTTGAGGGAAGAGTTATTGACTTCAATTGATGAAAATGTAATTGCTACATCTCAGATTTCAGGTTGTGCTTTCAAAAATAAACTCAGAATAAATATAGAATTTGTCCTCTGTCAAGTCAGTTAAACTAAAGAGGACTTGAATGACATTTATAATTAAATTTATACCTCATCTTTCTGCTTATATAATCACTTACAAGGGTTATATTAGTAAAAAAAAATACAAAATTATGACAGGTAAATTGATTCATTTAAAATGCAATAGTATTGACTACTTGGGCTTTTCTGGGCCCCAGAGAGACTCAAATGGGCTGCTCTTGTCCTTTGTTCATGCCAGTTTGATTCTAAGCTGGCTGTAAAAAATCTTGTTCCAACTGAGACACTTTGGCAACAACTTGTAATATATTAAGTCCAGACTGCAGGGTACCACTTCTGCCCTTTGGACAATGCCCCTGGTGCTGTGCCTTCCCACCTGTGCTTTCCAATCAATTTCCTTCTTCGTACAAAACTAAGTTAAATTTATATACAGTATACACAGTTAAAGCAGCAGACGTTGGTACATGCAGGCTCAACAAGCAGCTTTTAAAAAATCCCTTTTTTTCTCAATGTACCTTACAGTACAGTAATACTATAGGTTATGT